AGGGGAATCCGAATGAAAATGGAAAATGGCTTAGTAATCCCTGTAGTCCCTGATTTAATATCTTAGACAAAATTTTCAGTTGCTGTTTTTGGCTACATCAGAAGCAGGCTTTGCCCAAGTGAGTTGCCAAGGGAAAATATTAAACCAACAGTTAAATTTGGGACACAGTCGTGATCACACAGTGCTTTTTATTTAACACCAAAGGCGATCATAGCTTGCATTTAGTCTTGCCATGCCGATGCTGACAAACCCCCATGCTGTGTAACATTTTAATGGTATAGAATTAATCATACAAATTACATTGTCAAAAAACAATGAGATAAGCTACATGTACATGAATAAATATATGCCTGCTGTGAACAGTTGTCAACATGGAGAGATTTATAATTCATAAAGGGTAGATATGATGATGTATTATTTACCACTGTGTTGTGCTACAGTGCGTCCCATGCATATATTGTTTTGTGTTTTCAATAATTGGCTACCGCTCCTGGAGACACAAATAGCCACCAGGGGCCTCGGTTAATAAGGTGCCCACCCTTGAGTTGACACAAACACAAATTGTCCTTCATAAATACAAAAAGAATTCTCTGAATGAGACTCATAATAACGTCTATCTAAACTTGAGTCTTGAAAATACACATTTTTTATTCTGTTTATCGTCAGCGCACGCACTCTTGCGGCCTCACATGGCTATTAAGGTTCTTGCAAGTGACAGGGCTCCATTCTGAGGCAACATCCCTGTGGTCCTCCCTCTCAGTCAAGGCCATGATCATAGCCGTAGATTATTAATGGAGTGATCTGTCATGAGAGCCATACTAATGAGCATATTCATCAGAGCCACCGCATACGCAGAGCTATGATGCCCAGAATTTTCTTCCTTTTCTTCTTTTTTCTCTATTTTGTTTTATACTTGCATGTTCTGTTACTAAGAATCATTTTCTCTTCCTTATGACTTCTTATTTTTGTTGACTCTCTGAATCCAACAGCACTCTCTTCCATATGTTGTAGTTGTGATGTGAGTAATTTAGAACTGATCTGGCTACTGCTAAGTAAAAAAAAAAAAAAAAGTATTATTCTGCTGTGGTAAGTACAGTGCAGTCTGAAATGCTGTTTCCAGTCAATCTGGACAGCTTCTTTGAGAAGTTTTACACAAGGGGCTTGATGAATAGCTTTGTCTTTATATTAGTGTGATGGGTGAAATGTGGAAACAGTTCAGCCATCACACTAATTTGCCTGGGAAGGAAAGTGAAATCCACTTGTAGACTTTGTCATATATTTAGTCAGTTCTGGCTCTACACAACTGAATACAAGGACTACAATACAGAGTGATAACTGCGATATCAATAAGTGTTATATCTTAATGATTAAATCAGGCATTGGAATGCAGTTGACAAGAGGAGGACTTTAAATCTTAAGTTTAAAGTGCCTACCACCCGAAACAAAGTCACCACTATGAATTTATTATTGGTAAGCCATACAAAAGGTTATACTATAGAACATGTGTTCATAGGCACATTGAGTCTAATGTACACATGATCCAAGAGGATAACAAGCAGGCCTGCACTGTTGTGAACACAACACTACACAATTTTCATATTGTCCCTTGGCCTTGCATATTACTTATTATTTTCACCTCCCAGTGTTTTCCTTTAACCATGCTAGCAGACCGGCTCCAATGGTCTCTTTCAAATTGAAGTAATGGCCTTCCTATGTATACTCTGTGTGTTCTCCCTGTGCCCGA